ACACTCCGACGATGGTCAGATCCACCCCAATAACTGAATGTGATCTCAATTTCTTCTTTTTTCAACGCGTTCTGCTTTCTAGCCCATTCTTGTCTCAATTCTTTCCTAAGTTTATTTTCCTCCTCGTCCCTTTCCCTACTGGCAAAAAACATGTATCTACATCTGGATTTTTCTAAATCTTCTTAATCGCAGGGCCATCAGATTGCACATTTTCTGACTGCGGGGATTTTTCGGCATTGTCTTCGTCAGAAGACATCTCAGCTTCATCTTCGTTTTTGTCCAGATCAAAAAACAAAGCTTGAATCTGTCTCTTCTGTTTGTTCTTTTCTGTCTGCTTCGCCGCTAGTGCTCTTTCCTTTTCCTGCTCTTTTTCACGTTCCTTCTATCAAAGCATAAAATACACGTACAAAAATACAAATTATGAGATAATCAGGATCATAAGAAGATTGTAAGAAATTACTTGTGGGTATCAGGATTCGTGAATGTTCGCTCAATTTAACGGCGGATTTTCTCTTGCATTCCGCGTGACCGACGGTACATGCACACATAATGTAAATATTACAATCCTGTGTTTGGGATAAATTAAAATAGTGGTTTGATTTTCATGAGGAAAGAATGGACGTCGACATAAAAATCGAGCTGAAAATTGCATTTAAATCTTACCACTGAATCAAAATATACATTTAAATTTTGATATAATAATTGTGTAGAGTACACATACATTAGTGATGTTTGCATAAAAGATGCGTTTTTTCTTTAAACGGCGAAACTTTCACTTTTCGCTTGGCGCGAATTTCTCTACCAACATTGGGTTGTCGTAATACATTGCTCTGTAAAGAATTTTGACTTCTGGTCGTTATTCCTTTCCTCAAAGTTGCAGTGCTGTTTTGTCGATTTTGTCCGAGTAATACCTTCGGTGGTGCCATTTTTCAGATATGACGGAACTTTAGTTCCTTCTAATTGCTATAATTCACAAACATACATATAATTAGTTTATATATATTATACATAGTTTAATTTATATAGTGCATAATATAATACGGAATGTTTCAGAAATAAATTGTCAAATTTGAGAAGCATATTCTATACTAACAGTAAAAATGGAAAAGTTACAAATTTTTTTAAGTAACATCAAAGGAAAGGGAGACGTAAAAAGAAGGAAAATAAGAGAGATAAGTGATTTCGAAGTACAACAGATAACAGTGAATAAAAGAGAGAAGGAGGACATGTAAAAAAATGTATATATGAAATAAAAAGAGAGCATTATAAATATAAACTTGAAAGCATTACACTATACGTTTCTATGTATTACAAATAAAAAATAATTTCATAAATAATTTACATTAAATTTTATCAAGAATTAAGTATATATACTTTCTAAATCTGAATCAGTGAACAGTCACTGATATCAGTGTAAAGTATGCCACTGATTCGAATTAGTTAGTCTTGAAAAGAAATGATACTTTCACGTGATTCAAGATGGGTAACGCTAGATCCACTTCAACACGAAATTAACGCGCTGTTTTTAGCACAATGTGAGAAGCAGAGTCATTTAACTTTACATTTTTTTAATACAACTAAAAAATGATTTAAAATCATCTTCCGCAGGATACTTATCAGCTAAACACTTTTTTTACTCAAAATCTGCAAAATTGTAATGTAACTTATTAGAACAAAAATTAAAAAAGAACTTTTGTTTTAATTGTATCTTTATCACACATTTTTAATAAAATTATTAGGAGATTTTATTACGAAAAGAACAGTATCCAATAAACATTAAAATCCGACTATTCGTTCTCACTAATCTTGTCAAACGTGAAAAATGTGCCTGCTTTTTTACGCACTATATCCTTAACAAACAAACATTTTTGCTATTTGTGAGACAATTTATTATCTTTTGTTAATAAGGAATCAATGTGTAAATCAAACATTCGTCTATTTTTATTAATTGACAGTTAGTAATTTATTATACATCTTTTCTCAAAAAATCGCTGATTTCTCATCTTAAAATTTAAAATAACTAAAACCTGACGTAATGGAATCTGAACAGCGGCATTGTTTTTTGTGACCGAAAATCTATAAGAGACACCTACTCTGGTTAGAGTTACTTGATCATAATTTTCTTTTGTGGGCCTGTGATTATAATATAATTAATTATTTCTAGGTACAAATGCAAGACATCTTACATAAACTTCTTTCTTGGTGACATGGAGTGCAAACATATAGCCACATGACAATTGGATATGATAATGAAACGTATTATATTTTGAATAATATTATAATCATTTTTTCGTATATTTCTGATAATGATACATTCGATCGAACTAGAAAACCACAACATACAAGTTTTCTACATTTTACTATTTTTTCTCGGTATTGTGCAGACTTTTGCCAGGATGGAAGAAATAGACATATTGCAATGCTTTAATGAATAATGATACTATTTGGTGGAAAGCATTCTGTATAGGGTCAAACAAATCAGATAATAAATTTTTAGAATATCTATCTTGTTCTACATCTCCTAGTATCGTGCGCAAATACTTAACCATAATGGTCAATAAATCGGAACTCTGTGGTTTACAAATACCAAACTGCAAAAATGTAATAACGCAGCTTAATGCGTGACTGTGTGAAAAGTTTTCTTCTCATTGTTACAAAACATTCAAAAGGCGAAGACTTAGAATATGTATTACAAAATTTAATGGAAATAAAGCCAAGGTAACATTAATGTTTTTTTGTAGAACATGTTATGTTTGTTTAAATATCGTAAATATTAATTATTATATCTAATAAGAAACTTATTGTTATGATTTAATAGAGAAGTGAGTATGCGTGTGGCATTAATTAGTATTATTAATCATCTGCAGTCTTAACATCAACTTCACAAGGTAAATTTCATCATTAATCCGAATATGATAAAGCATTGGGACGGGGATATAGGAACCACGGGGTAATAATAATCATCTTAGAATAAAGTGACTGTCGCGCGTTATAAATCCGAGCCCGCGTGTGAGAGTAACTTGCCTATCTCTATATAATAAAATTGTATTTCATTAGATTTTAGTAGTCTCTAATAACTTATTATTGCAACATTTATTGCTGGTAAATATCAGAATAATTTGTTTTAGGTAAATGAAGCTATTAAAAAATTTAAGTGTTATATTGATGTGCTAATACAACTGGTAGAACGAAAAATTAATGAACGCTTGTCGGAAATCATGAGTCAGCATTATTCTAAAACTTTTTTTTAAATAATATATTATACGTATTTTTTAATATAAAGTATTTGAAATTTTACAAAAAAGTGTCATAGTGGTTTAAAAATGCAGTAATGTAACCAATATGTCTGTAGCATAATTAAATCAAATATAGCATATAATTAGTGAGTCTTAGAATAATTTGTGTAATGTTCTTTGCTCCAAAAATTTTAATTTTTTACATTATTTTTACTTATTTTTAATTAGTTTAGTATACTTACATTATTATTGTTATTATTATTATTATTATTATTATTATTATTTATATTATTAACAGTTTCTTTGTAATATTAATATTAAATAATCTTAGATCTATATATCGGTTATTATTAATATTAAAGATTGTACTGTGTTATTAATATTAAAAATATTAATGTTTTTACAACTTTCAAGTCACTACTAATTATATATAATAGTTTGTGTAATGTTCTTTGCTCTGATAATCTAATTATTTTGTGACTGATATATAATACTGATGTGATTTTGTTACTATAGTATAGAGTGTCAGTATAAACATTTTATATTTATACTTTTATATAACTGTAATTATAATAATAAAACATACATATTTAGACATTTTTATTTACAATTTTAAAAATACTTTTTACAGGGGTTAAATCATCTGATATGTTATTTTGTTCAATAAAAACGTTCTCCGTTTAATAAAAATATTCTGTAGAAGCCCTCCACCATTCTCGTTAACTTTAACGAGCAATTTTTTTTCTTTATATATTTTTATACCTATATTAATTTTTTATTCTTATTTAATATTCATAAATTTGTAATTTATTTATATATATAATATTTGTATTACACTGCAAAAAAATTATGGAAACAATATTTTGCTTTAGAAAAATGTAATTTTTGGATTAGAATAATATTAATAAAAATTGGACTAAAATTGTTTAAAAGCATTGAAAAACTTGAAGCATTGAAGCTTCTATTTTCATTTGTTTAGTATACGTTCACGACACTTCATTGTTTTTCTGTTGTGCGATTTCTCAGTAGTTTTTCTATTATTTGTTAGATATTTTTTAATTTAGGAATTTCAAGATGGGAAAATCATTACATAAGTCCAGGAAGTGGCAGCACTCGCCCACGAACGTCACCAAACAATTTTCTTGCTTTTATCAATTTGCAGGACGCGTACTTGCTTCTATCAATCCATCAGGAGGAGAGAAAATTCTTACGTTTCCGTTTTCAGGGTCAACTTTTCCAATTAAGAGCCCTGCCTTTTGGAGTTGCATCAGTGGCTTACATCTTTACAAAAAATGTTTATGCGGAGTCCTCTTCATTAATACATATAATAATAAGAAAACAAAATAAAAGTCTAAAAATCTCTAAAATAAAAATTATGTAGAATGCAGGATAAATGCAGAAATAAATAACTGCGCAATATAATACTTATTTCATCATATAGCAAATTTATTTCTATATGTCCTTCTAGGTAATGTTTATAAAGTCATTATTAGTTATTTATTTATCGAGTATTTATTTATCAAGGTTGCTTCGGTTACGGAATTATAAAAACATTTACCAGCAGAAACAAACAGAAACTTCAGGATAGGACAACAGGTTAACTGCTAATGAAAAGTAACGGTTCTGTTTTCGGAGAGTAAGAAGCTAATTTCCAATAGAAACCATCATTCGACACTAATCCTCGTCACCGATTACGCCTACATTTGCATGTCAAGTGATTCCCATCAAATAAGTAGTATTTCATTCTATCTGTATTTCTTGGAAATGGAAATGGAAGCAAGAAAAGAGGATAATTCGACATTTTCTTATAGTGTGGTCCACCCACTGAGCAGAAACAAAGCTTTACGAAACTTTTGGGTACGTCTGATTTGATTAATCGTAGTTTTATTTTAAAGCTCAATATACTCATGCAGAATAGGCACCAATGCGTATCTATATTTTCGTAACTATATTTTTGTATTTCAAAAATATTTCTCTGAGATATATGCAGGAATAAAAATATTCCTCAATCACTAGAATGTTATTAAAATAATGTATATTAGAAATAATTTTCGCGATAATGGAACACGTATATTTGGTAAAGTAAGAAAACGTAATTTTGTTTTTTATTTTACAGTACGTAACTGAAAAGGGAGAGAAATCAAAACCAGAGGAAAGATTAAAAATCTCGTATGATGAAATCCAATCGGCACTGTCACTGATGAGAATAAAAGACAAGACCATTCAGATGACACCATGTGACGAGGTAATAAATACCATAAGATCTCCTTATATGATGTAACTATTTTACCTTCGCACTTTTATCAGCGCATATTTAACAAATATGTAAAAAGCAGATGACCTAAAGTCTACAAATACTTCAATATCAAATTCTTGTAACTCTAAAAATCTTAACATTTGTAGATCTCAGAATTTAAGTAATAAAAATAAACAAAAATATAAACGTAAAAATGTAACATCTAAGTATTTTGCGTATGTATTAAAAGTGACTTGAAATAAATTTCACTGTAAACTGAAATAGATTACATGCAATAAAGTAATATAAATTGAGAGATTATTTTAAACGATTTGACTGTGTTCTTCGCAATATTGTAGATATAAATATATATCTTTGATTAACACACTGTAAGACAAAATATTCGTGAAAACTAGCCTAAAACCGATCTTTAAATAAATGTAATATGATTGCAGAGTCAACTTCTTCGCAAAAATGGTTTCGAAATTTTTCTGAAAAAAGAATTACACCAGATAACGGGCAGCGTCAAAGCACGCGGCGCAGTTTATTCTCTACTACGGTTATCGAACAAGCAATGCAAGGGCGTGATAACAACTTCAACGGGCAGTTTCGCACATACCCTCTGCCATTTTGGAAAGGAGTTTGGAATACCGGTAAATGTTATGATACCAGTATCAGAAGCCGTTGCAGAAAAAATCGATGCGTGTCTACATCTCGGAGCATCTGTGTCCCTCGCCAGTTATGATATTGTAGAAGCACATAAGGAAGCTTTGAAGAAGGCCCAGGATAAAGGCTTAGTTTACATTGACGGGTACTCCTTTTTTATCAATTAATTAGGTTGAAATTAGGGTAGAAAAGATATTTTGTAAAAGAAACTTTTTATTATTATATTGTTTACTCAATATCTAAGAAGTAATTAGGGGAGACTGGGGCTCGTTGGCACAGTTTTCACAATTTCGGCATTTTATTTTTTTATTATTACAATAAACTACTGTTATTACTCAAAATAGCATGTCGTATAGCAATAGAAACTTTCTTTTCAACTAATAATACATCACTTTAATTTACTTCTCAAGCTGAAGAACATTAATACAATATTTTGAGACGCTTGAAACTTGCCATCTCTTGAATCAGTTTCCCTTTTTTTTTATTGTGATACTTGTTTGGTTTAAGTAAAACTTTGGGAAAAGTATTTATATGTCATAAAAGAAATATTTTGTAAGACGAAACGCAATGCCAACTTGTCTTTTGTGCCAAGATCTCTCCTACTTTTTTTGTTACACTTTTCTTAATATTGATATAAAATGCTGATATTATATATGAATTTTAATGGTATAAATAAAATCATAAATAGAATATATCATGGAATCCTCGGGTAAAGAGACAATAAGATACG